GGGGCAGCAGGCAGGCAGGCAGGTGAGTGGTTAGGAGCCAGGGGTCCCAGATTGCAAGAGGGATGGCCGACTGCCAGTTATCCCCTGAGGGGTCCCGGATCGGTGAGGGTGCAGGCTGGGCTGAGGGACATCCCCCCCCCCCACATGAATTTCTTGCACCAGGCCTCTCGTTTAAATACATAAACTATGCTTCCAGAAGAATTGAAAAAGGACCCTACTAAATAAATGCCATTAACTCCTTTCCTGGATGGCCCTTTTCAGCTTGGTAATTTATTACAGGAAAAAAGCGTTTTGTATAAAGAGGTGAATTTTTTAAAATATATATTTTTATTCATTTCAGAGAGGAAGTGAGAAAGAGAGAATCATAAATGAGAGAGAATCATTGATCAGCTCCCTCCTGTATGCCCCGCACTGGGAATGGAGCTTGCAACCTCAGGCATGTGTCCTGACTGGGAATCAAACTGTAACCTCTTGGTTGATAGGTCCATGCTCAACCACTGAGCCACACCAGCTGGGCATGATTAAAATTTGAGTACATTTTATTATAAAGCACTATGGGAAATTGGGTATACTCTTAAATTCTTTCTAACATGTGTCTTTTAAATATCTTTCTATTGTAAAATGAAAATGTTATGGGTTTTCCTAAGTGATTATTTTATGTAAAGTTTGAATATTGTGGGGTTTTTTGGGCCCCAGTATGATTTCATTATGATTACAGTAATAAGCTCGCTATGGGTTGGGGGGGCATTTTAGTTTGTTAACAGGTTAGAGAATGCATTTTTGTTTTTGATTGCAAGGTTTTATTTAATACTAAGGCGGATATTAAGTTGTATAATGCTGGATTAGTGATGATTTAGCACGTTCTGCAAATTAAAGTAAAATTGTCCTTAGCATACCTGAACAGGTGATTGACAATTACTGTAGATTTGTGTATTAATTTACCTCTTTTCTAAGGTAGGTGCCAACTGCCAAGTGTTTCTAAATAAAATATTTCTAAATATTTAGAAATTGAGAGGAAAAGAAGTACAGTCATGTAATTTATCAATTTAAAAATTAGGATTTTTAATGCTGAAGTAATAAAGAAAATTAAGATAGTAATTTGGGTGGGCTTTGCTTCTCATTGTAGGTTGGGCTTGTCACCTTATTTGGGATTTGGCTCAGTTCTATTCTTTTGTGTTTATTCTGGGGCCTAGGTTGAAAGGGCAGTGTCTACCTGGTGAAACTCCTGTCATAGGGATGGCAGAGGTAGAAGAAGGCAAGCTCAGTTGCACAAAGATATTTCAAACCTTTGTTTGCATAATTTCTGCTAACATTCTATTGGCCAAAGCAGATAAGATGACCAAGGCATGGAGGCAGGGAAATATACTTTGCCCACCATGGGGCCAAAGTAAGGCATGTGGCCAAGCTTAGCATCAGTTGGGAAGGAAAAAAAGGTCCTTTCAGGGAGGTGATTAATTTTGAAGAAAACCCATGTCTATTAAACAGTGTAAAATGAGATGGTGCCCGTATTGCAGCTGTGTGATGTTTTGCATATAATCATGAAAATTGTCATTAGGCCATTGTTTACCTAGTATTGCTTAGTCTAAATTGTTCTAATGTATCACTTAATAGGAAATATTGTTTTTGTATTCTCATGTTTTCTAATAGATTGTTTTATCTTAGCTATAGACTTTTTTTTTTTAAAGATTAATTTCCAAACAAACGGGAAGTTATTAGAAGCATCTTTCATTAGACGCATCATCAGTCAACTTAAAGAAAAAAGTGACGTGTGATTTCCATTTCAGTAAGGTAAGTGATTTATACTTTTATAACTTGGTGCTTTCCAAGATGATTATTAGTGTATCAAATATACTTTGTATTTTCAGAGAGAAATTTTACTTACATTTTAATTTTTTGACAAGGTTATATGTTTACATAACAAAACATTAAGTGGAGCCGAAACCGGTTTGGCTCAGTGGATAGAGCGTCGGCCTGCGGACTGAAGGGTCCCGGGTTTGATTCCGGTCAAGGGCATGTACCTGGGTTGCGGGCACATCCCCAGTGGGAGGTGTGCAGGAGGCAGCTGATCGATGTTTCTCTCTCATCGATGTTTCTAACTCTCTATCCCTCTCCCTTCCTCTCTGTAAAAAATCAATAAAATATATTTTTATACAAAAACAAAAACAAAAACAAAAAACATTAAGTGGATATATAGTGAAAAGTAAGCTTTTTTCTGCTGACACTTGGTCCCATAGTTCTTTTACGTTTATATTATTATGTTACCACATTAGCCATCTCTCGTCTTTTTTTTTCCTGTGAATATAGTATGTATTAATTTTTGCTGTTTTTGGCCAATATTTTCCCCGTTTTGACTCTCTAACTTGGCTTTTGAATTTTGTGACAAGACTTGAAAGCCTTTCCCTCTCTGAAAATAAATATTATCTTGCACACTGTTTTTATGGTTTAATTTTTTAAAAATATATTTTGTTGATTTTTTATGGAGGGGAAGGGAGAGGGATAGAGTGTTAGAAACATCAATGACAGAGAAACATCGATCAGCTGCCTCCTGCACACCCCCTACTGGGGATGTGCCCGCAACCAAGGTACATGCCCTTGACCGGAATCGAACCTGGGACCTTTCAGTCCGCAGGCCGATGCTCTATCCACTGAGCCAAACCGATTAGGGCAGGGCTGGTTTAATTTTTAATGATTACATTTTTTCTGGACATCATCTCACTGTTTAAAAAAAATTGATTTTAGGGAGGGAGGGAGACTGAAAGAGAGAGAGAAGCATTGATATGAGAGAGATGCATAGATCAGTTGACTTCTGGGATTGAACCCAGGACCTCTGGTGCACTGGATGACACTCCCAACCATCTGAGCCACACCAGCCAGGGCTATTACCTCACTCTTAAAACAAAATTACCCAGATGGTTACCTGGTTGTCTTAACACCAATTGTTGAATAATCGTTTCTTCATTAATATGAAATTAATACCAACTTTATATGTACTAAATTTCCTTATGCATTTTGGGCCTGTTTTTGGAGTCTCTTTTCCATTAATCTCTTATTGATATGTTGGAGCTAAATTGTTAAATGTATTTCAATATCAGCAAGCACAAGTCTACACCCTATTACTTTTTAAAAAATACATATTTTTATTTATTTCAGAGAGGAAGGGAGAGGGAGAGAGAGAAACATTAATGATGAGAGAGAATCATTGATTGGCTGCCTCCTGCATGCCCCCTATTGGGGATCGAGCCCGCAACCCGGTTGGGCTCAGTGAAATAGAGCGTCAGCCTGCGGACTTGAAGGGTCCCGGATTCAATTTTGGTCAAGGACACACCATTACTGTTTTTGATTTATGTATGTATTTTCGAAACTGGTATGTGATATTTTATTTTCTATATATCTCAGCTGATTATTATTTATTTAAAGCTTTTGATTTTGATGTTTACTTTTTACTTATTCACCATATTGAATTCACATACCTAATAGTTTTTCTATTGTTTTAAATTTTTTTTCTGCAAATAATTATTTTCTGCCTTTTAAATTTTTATTACTTCTCCTTGTTTGATTGTATCATCTCTGTAACACTGTTAAAAACTATTTGCTGAATTTAGTGGGCAACTTCTTGTGTCACCCTATATATCACGATTCTTGCTTTTTTGGTTTATATACTCCAAAAGTTGATGGTACTAAGAAAGAAATATTTGAAAATATCCTTAGTACTTCAATTGCCAACTCATTGGCATGAGTAGAGAATCAAGAGTGGCTATACTAGTATATAGCACTAGCCGGTCTGGCTCAGTGGATAGAGCGTCTGCGGACTGAAGGGCCTTGGGTTCAATTCTGGTAAAGGGCACATGACCGGATAGCTGGCTCAATCCCCTGTGTGGGGTGTGCAGGAGGCAGCCGATCAATGATTCTCTCTCATTGTTGATGTTTCTCCTTCTCCCTCTCTGAAATCAATAAAAATATATATTTAAAAAAGAGTGCTATATAGTCCTCCGCTCTACCAGCTGAGCTATCGAAGGGAGCACAAAAAAGAGTGCTATATAAAGTTCTATTTAATTATCTAATTTATTCATGTGAAAGTCAATAAGGGCATCTATACTAATAAAAGAGTAATATGCTAATTAGACTGGGAGACCTTCCAGGAGACTTTCCAGATGTTCTTCTGGACAAAGCCATGGTGGTGGGGCTGAGGTAGAGGTGGTTAGAAGCCAAGAGGGGAGGGCAGTTGTGGGTGATTAGGCTGGTGAGGATGCGGCCATTGGGGGTAAGCAGACCAGCAGGGGGGACAGCTGGGTCAGCAGTCCCGGATTGCGAGAGGGATGTCCGACTGCTGGTTTAGGCCCGATCCCTGTAAACAAGCAGTAGGACATCCTTTGAGGGGTCCCAAATTGGAGAGGGTGCAGGCCAGGCTGAGGAACACACCCACCCCCGTGCACGAATTTCGTGCACCGGGTCACTAGTATCTATAATAATAAAAGCATAATATGCTAATTAGACGATGTCCCTCCAGGCATCCTTTGGACGAAGCTGGGGGTGTGAGGGAAGCCCGGGTCCCAGGTGCTAGAGGGAAGCCAGTGCTGACAGCTGGGGGAAGGAAGGCCTACTCTTGTATGAATTTCGTGCATTGGGCCTCTACTATATATATTTACTTCTGAACTTTTAGGAAAATTTTTTGCATTCTTAATTGCTGTTAATTCTTTTTCTCTGTTTTCTAAAACCCCAAGTACTAGACTATTGGACAGGGTTAACATGACTTTTTCCTTATATCCTTAGTTGTAGGCCTTCTGTTCAGCTAGACTTCAGGCAGCTCTGAATGATGGTTCTTGTGTGGTAATCTTGATGTGGTTGTGGGAGGATTTGAGTACTGTGCTTACCTATGCCACCATCTTGACTGGTGTGTGTGTGTGTGTATGTGTATGTGTATGTGTCTATGCTTACTGACTGTGGGCCTTATTGGTACTTTTTTAGGTCTTTTCTCTAGACTTGTCAAATTCATTAGAAAATAATCTTTCAGTTTTTTGTTTTTTTTGTAGAAGGCATAGGCTTGGCTGCTGTCCTCTAGGAGTCTCTGAGTAGGCAAAGAGGTTGAAGGGAGTGGGTTTTACAAATCAGTATATGAACTACTTATTTTCTTTGTTGTCACTTTGTTACTTACTGCTTTATCTGTGACTATTGAGCCCCCAGATGAAAAGCCTTTTGTTTTACTCTGACCAGAGATTTATACCTCCTGTCTTCAGGGAATGATGTAGGGCAGTCTTCTGGGTGCCTGTAACTGGAAAGGCAGTCTTGCAATATTTTAACTTTTTTTTAAAAAAAATATTTTATTGATTTTTTTACAGAGAGGAAGGGTGATGGATAGAGAGTTAGAAACAATGTTGAGAGAGAAACATAGATCAGCTGCCTCCTGCACACCCCATACTGGGGATGTGCCCGTAACTAAGGTACATGCCCTTGACCAGAATCAAACCTGGGACCCTTCAGTTCGCAGGCCAACACTCTATCCACTGAGCCGAACCGGTTAGGGCATTTTAACTTTTTTTTTAGTCCCATTTTTATCCCCATCTCCTATGGAGCCTGGTATTGCCAGGTCCTGAATCCTGAGGGATTCTGTGGTTTCTGTAGTTCTGCTGCTTATCATTTTCTCTTTTCCTTCGGATTTATGAGTTTGTCTTGTTTTATTCTAGTGTATTTTTAGTAGGTTTTACATGAGAATAAAGGTTAATGTGTATTTAAATTTGCCTTTTTCTTAAAATATGGAGAAATCTCAGAAGTAACCTATTTTAGTTTTGTGAATTGATTTTATTTTATTTTTATTTTTTTAATATATTTTATTGATTCCTTACAGAGAGGAAGAGAGAGGGATAGAGAGTTAGAAACATCGATGGGAGAGAAACATCGATCAGCTGCCTCCTGCACACCTCCTACAGGGGATGTGCCCGCAACCAAGGTACATGGCCTTGACCAGAATCGAACCTGGGACCCCTCAGTCTGCAGGTGGACGCTCTATCCACTGAGCCAAACTGGTCAGGGCATTTGTGAATTGATTTTAGAGAGAGAGGAAGGGAGGGAGGGAGTGAAAGAGAAACATCAATGTGAGAGAGAAACACTGATTGGTTACCTCCTGTACATTTCCCCACTGGGGATTGAATCCACAATCTGGGTATGTGCCCTGATCAGGAATTGAACCTGAGACCCTTTGGTGCCAGGGATGAAGCTCCAACCAACTCAGCCACACTGGCCAGGACTAAATATGCCTTGTTAACTGTCATTGTTTTTCTATGTATAACTTATGCAGCACTGCTTTTCCTCACAATAGTATTTTATTTTACCAGTTTTTTAAAAAATACACTTTTATTGATTTTAAAAAGGAAGGGACAGAAAGAGAGACAGAAACATCAATGATGAGAGAGAACCACTGATCCTGCTACAGGCCCCACACTGGGGATCGAGCCTGCAACCTGGGCATATGCTCCTACAGGGAACCAAACTGTGATTTCCTGGTTCATAGGTTGATGTTCAACCACTGAGCCATGCTGGCTGGGCCCACGTTACCAGTGTAACACATATGCACATTTATCTATTTCTTTTTTGTATTAAGACTTTTGTCCTGCAATATAGAATTGATACATGCTATTCTGTTAGATGCATGTAACATTGTTTACTTGATGTTAGAAATACTGAAATTATGCTGTGTATAAAGTAAGCTCTGAAGACTAATGTTAGGACAGGGTAAAATTATGGATTGTGATACTTGATGGGAGGTAAATGAATGATTACATTTTTTTTTCTCTGTACCTTTTAAACATTTAAAAATACTTTTTCTTGTAGGTGCTATGTAATGTGTTGATATATAAGGAATGATTTTGTCAAATTTTCATGAGTTATGGTGGCTGAAAGATCAATTTTGTCTTGTCGGAACAGAAGTGTAAGTAACCCCAAGTAAATTAATTTTCATCATCTATGCATATTATTTAGGGCACATTATTGGTTATTCATAAGAATGTACTTGGGATACTTTATTCTCTTAGCCTTAATTATACAGACTAAATAATTCAAAAGGAGAAGTTAGATTTTATGTAAATAAAGATTATTTCTGTATAGTATTAGCATTGCCATATTTCTTGGATTGTATAAAATTTATTATTTTTTAATTTTTCAGAAATGGCAGCACAAAAGGAAATCTATGTTAATAAAATATTTTATTAAACGAAAGAGGTTATATAAGAACTTGAAACCAACAGACTCAGCAAATAAGGGAAGACATGTTTCAAATGAATCAAAGTGCAATATCGCTAGACTCCAGAAGAAAAAAGTTTTCAAAAACTTTGTCAAAACAGAGAGGCCAGTGATAAATAACTCCTCCAGTAATAGGGCCGACCTGAAATCCAATATTAAATGAAAAATTAACAAAACAGATTGAACCTGAATTAAGTATATTTCACAAAAAGTTCTAAAAATATCAAATTAGAATTAAATTGTCTTCAAATTTCTATTGCCTTGCTCAAAGTAAAGCAGATGTCTTTTAGCCTTTTATGCCAGCTTTTATCATGTTCTAGGGATGACAGAAACCTTATTTGAAGCAAACTAGTATTTTTGTTGAAAATGCGTATCGGCATCAAAGTCATTTTTTAAGGTCTGCTCCTCAGTAATAATACTGGACAGTCAGCATTCGCACCTACCAGGATACAGAAATTCTCTCAGAAGCCACTCAGTAAAGGAGGACCTGATTCAGGAACAATGTCCATTCAGGAGAAATCAAAAGAAAATTCCTCCAATGTTATTAAAAAATGTGATGATAAGAATTTAGAAGCACAAATTCAAGGTTCTGAAAAGAATCTAGCAAAGAGATCAGGTCCAAAGCAAGCTATAAAATCAATGGTTAAATCTTCTAGTGAAAGTAAAATAAATCAGCCTGAATTAGGGACATGTATGAGTACAAGGTCAGCAAAGGCAGCATCCAATGATGAAAAAGCTAGTAAGTCCATTAATAAAAATATGGTGACTCTGAAGGGACATACTCAACAAGAATCTACAAAAAAGAAATCTCAGAAAAAATCAGTGCATGAAACCCCTAAATCAAATGACCAGCCTAACCGGAGATCACAAAGACTACAGCAGCTCACGGAGGTTTCAACAAGGTCTCTGCGGAGTAGAGAAATCCAGGGTCACGTTCAGGCAGTTAAACAGAGTTTGCCACCAGCAAGAAGAGAGTACTCTAGCAATACTCAGAATAAGCCTAATAAAGTTAAAACAAGTCAAAAACATGTGAAAAGAAAAGTACTGGAAATAAAATCTGACTCTAAAGAGGATGAAAATCCAGTTATTAATGAAGTAGTGAATTCCCCAAAAGGAAAAAAACGCAAAATAGAGCATCAGTCAACTTATAGTTCTCAGTGCATAAAAGCATCTGAAAACTGTCTTCAGAAGAATATTAGAAAAGAGGAAACAAAATCTGTGCCTGTAACTTCTGAGATAAAAAGATCAAGTATGGCTACTACAGTTGTCTCTAAAAAAAATGAGATGAAGAAGTTGGTTCATTCACAAGTAAATACTAGTGCAAAACTCTCCAAAAGTTCACAGCCATCAGTGCCTGAACAAAGTATAGATAATGAGCAAACAGGAAAGAATAAACGAGGTAGCATTCTCCAGCTCTGTGAAGAAATTGCTGGTGAAATCGAGTCAGATACCGTAGAGGTAAAAAAGGAATCTTTACAAACGGAAAGTGTAAAGGAGAAGCCTGCAGAAATAAAATTGGAAAAGGCTGATAGTGAAAGACAAATACTTCATCAGAAGGAAACAAATCAGGATGTTCAGTGTAATCGTTTCTTCCCCAGTAGAAAAACAAAGCCTGTGAAATGTGTACTAAATGGAATAAACAGCTCAACTAAAAAGAACTCCAACTGGACTAAAATTAAACTCTCAAAATTTAACTCTGTGCAGCAAAATAAGTTGGACTCTCAAGTTTCCCCTAAATTGGGCTTAGTACGAACTAGTTTTTCACTACCAGCATTAGAAATGCCTCATCCAGTGACTCAAAGTACATTTTTAGGGACAAAACCACATGATAAAAATATAGCTTGCCAGCAGGAAGAAATTAATTCTGAAGTTAAAAGTAGTGATATTATAGTTGAAATGAATAAAGCCACAAAAAAAGCTCCTGAAAATTGTCATTTGGATAATCAGATAAAACCACTTCCTGACTCACCATTGGATAACCAGATGAAAGATTCTTTTGAATCAACACCAGATAAGGTAATCTATTTTTATTATGTACAATAGAATTGTCTGAGTACTTTTTAATAAGAAATAAGTGTTTATAATATATTTTATCTTAGGAATCATAAAAGACTGAAGAGTCATTTGTTTTATTAATCCAGTCTTGTGGTGAGTCTCACATTTACATGCATGTTTCATTATTTCCTCATTTTTACTCTTTATTTTTTAAATATGTTTTTGTTGATTTCAGAGAGGAAGGGAGAAAGAGAGAGAGATAGAAACATCAATGATGAGAGAGAATCATTGATTGGCTGCCGCCTGCATGCCCCCTACTGGGAATCGAGCCCGAACTCGGAATGTGCCCTTGTCTGGAATCAAACTTGGGACCCGTCACTCCTCAGGCCAACACTCTATCCATTGAAACAAACTGGCTAGGGCTCTTTTTTTTTTTTAATCTGAACCATAAACCAGTTGAATTTTAGCTTTTCCTTTTCATTTAACATAATGATATGTTTCATTTTTCCTGTTAATTATAACCACAGAAACTATATTTCATAGTGACTAAACTATAGAATTTAAAGTTGGGCTAAATTCTGACCAAGCTGTTAAAATTAATTTCATCTGACACAAATCAGCCTATTTTCTCCACTTAATAAAATTTAAAAATTAAAAATTTATGCCAGTAGGGTTTCCTTTGGTTTGCCGTTTTGAACAATTGGCAAATAACATGTTTGAAAGATGTAAATATTTCAGTCTTTAGTCTTAAATTATAGTGGCTGAGAATTTTTATTTTAATCCTCACTTAAGGACATGCTTTTAAAAAAATTGATTTTAGAGAGAGAGGAAGGGAAAAGGAGAGAGAGAGAGAGAAACATCAATGTGAGAATAAAACATTTATTGGTTGCCTCCTGCATGTGCCCAACCGAGGATGAAACTGACAACCTGGGTATATGCCCTGACCAGGAATCAAACCTGCGACCTCCTGTTGAATAGGACACAACACTCCAACCAATTGAGCCACACCAGCTAGGGCGTGGCTAAGAACTTTTAAAATGGAAAAGTAAATGAAAAACAATGTAATAAAAAGAAACTTTCAATGAATTATCTAAGATGGTAGTTTTGAAACTATAAAAGCAGCTAAGCCCATTTCTTTCCAAATTAAATCATAGGTAAAATACCATATGTAAAATCAATGAGCAGAAATTTCATATATATCGAACCATGGAGCTCTATACTACAGATTTTAAAACTCTGCTAATTTGTTTCAATTATTTAAATTTATAATGAGAAAACTGAGCAATAGCAGAATGTGATTTAGGTCACATGTTTGGTGGCAAAAATAGGATTGTAATCCAGATGTCTTGAATCTCAAGCCCAGCATTTTTGTTTTTTTAATCCTCACCTGAGGATAGGTTTCTTGATTTTAGAGAGAGGAAGAGAGTGAGAGAGAAAGAGAAATATTAATATGGGAGAGAAACATCTATTGGTTGCTTCCCATATTTGCCTAGACGGGATGGAACCTGCAAACTAAGTATGTGCCCTGACCAGGAATTGAACCTGCAACCTTTTGGTGCATGGGACGACAGCCAGCTGAGCCGCCTGACCAGGACCCAGCATTCTTTCTATAGCAACATACTCTGAGCATTAAAAGATGATTTGAGGGAAAAAATTATGAATGGAGAAAAAAGTCAAGTCATCCTAAAGTTATGGGAGTGATTTAAAGCTTTCTTTGTAGGCATTTTGGTCTAGGAGCAAATTTGTGTGAGTGAGGAGCCTGGGCTTTATACCAGAATCCATGAAAATATAGATCATTGTTTATTCTCATGGAGTAAAAATCAAAGTGAACTTAAAGAGAACAGACACTATATGATACTCTTAGATTTTATTTTCTGTACAAATGGAAATGAGAGCATCATTTAGAAGGTAATTATTCAAATAATGATAGTAATTAGAAGTAAATAGTGAGTTGGTAGTATTAGAAGTAAGTGTGGCTGCTTGTAGAGATGGGTTGGCTTTCTATTCAGGGTGTTTTGTCAGCAAACATAGCTTGTACTCCAGGGTTGCTGGAGAGTGTCTTCTACTCCTTGATGCAGAAATACCTGTCAAAACTTGAAAGGAGACAGTTTAAAGAGAATATATTGATGAATAAGAAATATTCATTTTTTTGGACTAAACTGTACTAGAATAGAGATACTCACTTAGACCACAGTGTTATTGCTTTTATTAAAATGTGCTTTGGATTTATATAGTTCCTCTGTCTTGAGAAACATTATGAGAAACAGTCCTATGAAACGTGCTTAAAAATTTTATTTATATTTGAAAATTCTTGAATATTTCAAACATTTCAGTATTACAGAGACTAACATTACATTAGTTTCTACCACCTAAATTTGACAAAAATTAACATTTTATTGAATTTGTGTCTTTTAAAATAAGAAAAATGCATTACAGATAGAGTTAAATACCTCCTCTTCTTTCCATTTCACCTGTCTTCTTAGAGTTGGCGTAGATTTTTCTTTTTATGATTTTACTGTGTATGTTTATATATATCCATAAAGAATACTCAGCACTATTTGTGTTTTAAATGTTTACGTAAATGATAACAGTTTGCATGTATATGAAAATGTGAAACAAATCTTACATCATTTGAAAACTTTTTCTATGGGTGCCCGTAATTTGCTCTTTTATGCAGTGTTAGTCTCAGCTGTACTGAAATGATGATTTGATAAGTTTAAGCATCTCATCTAATGGGCCTTCAGTGAATTCTTTGGGCTGAATTTAAATTATTTGTGCTATATGGATTGTAAAGTTCAGTTATTTTATAATTTTTTTAAAACCATTAACTTTAACTTCCTTTTAATGAAGATTAATTGGTAATATTGTTCTTGTTTTTAATTTTTCTGACTTTTCAATAAAAAAAGTTCATCTTTTTCAAAAACATGTTAAAAAATGTTGCACATTCATTGTAACAATCTCAGTACAGATAGATATACACATGCTCAGAAAGTTAACTGTTTTCCTTTTTATATCCATTTCTCTGAGATAGCCAATGTTGATAGAGATTGGAGTTTTTTCTTTTGGAAGGTATTGAGTATCTGCTTTGACAAGGTTCTGACTCAGGGGCTCTTAGGGATACAGAGATAAATATAATGATGATCTTTGCTCTTAAGAATTATAAGAGATGAACCAAAAACATTCAAAATAGGAAGTGATACGGGCATGAACAGGTAGATAGAAAGTAGATGGAAAATTATTCCAAATTTGGGGGAAGGGAATGGGAAAGCTTGAAAAAGGCTTTGTGGAAGAGGTTAATATTTAAGTAATGAGTTGGGTGTATACAGGAAGAAAGGTATTCTAGATTAGCACTATCCAGTAGAAATATAATAACCACATATATCTTTTAAATTTTTCTGATAGCTTTAAAAAAGAAGAGAAACTGGTAAAATTATTATATTTTATTTATTCAGTCATCCTATCTAATAAAGAGGGAATATGCTAATTGACCCTCATGTGGTTGCAAAGATGGCAGCACCCACAGCCAATAAGGAGGGAATATGCTAATTGACTGCCCCACCCTCAAAGGTGGCTGCGCCCACAGCCACAAGATGGCGGCACTCAGTCCCCTCAGCTCCGCTGGGGCAGCAGGTATATGTGCCTGCCTCCAGAGTCCCCCAGTCCCCTCAGCCCCCCAGCTGCCCAGGGCCAGCCCGAGGCACAGGCAAGCCTCGGATGGTGGCTGCCCAGCTTCCCAGGGCTGGTCCGAGGTGCAGGTAACCAGGGCCAGCTGAGGCTTGTGCTGCTGGCAGTGGCAGTAGCAGTAGCAGAGGTGTGATGGGGCGTTGTTTTCCCCTGAGTGCTCCCGTACTGTGAGAGGGGGAAGGCTGGGCTGAGGGATCCCCTCCTCCAGTGCATGAATTTTCATGCACTGGGCCTCTAGTCTATATATATAAAAGGCTAATATGCAAAGTGTCCCCTCGGGAGTTTGACCGGGAGATTGGGAGTTTGATTGCTTGCTGCGATGTGCACTGACCACCAGGGGGCAGACGCTCAATGCGGGAACTGCCGAGCTGCAATGACTTGGCAGCAGTGGTTCTTGGGTGACGCACCCTGAAACCAGAGAGGAGGGAGCCTCACGGGGGGTAGGGGATTGGAGGAGGTGGTGCAAGATTCCACCTTCGGCCATGAGTTATGTTGTTGCTGGGGCTCTGTTGGCCCCAAATCTGGTATACTGCATACTTTGCATTGTGCCCTCTCGCACTCCAGGACCCCTCGGGGTATGTCGGAGAGCTGGTTTTGGCCCGATCCCCGCAGGCCAGACTGAGGGACCCCACCTGCCGGAGGGGCCCCAACTCCACAGATGCTGGGGAGGGACTGCGGGAGGTTGGCTCCAGGGTGTGTCTGGCCCATCTCACCCAGTCCTGCCCTGCTGGCCACCTTCTAATTAATTTCCTTTCAATGTGCACGAATCTGTGCACCGGGTCACTAGTATAAATATACTATCAGTTTGACATGGAATCAGTTTTAAAAATTGTGATATTTTGCCTTTTTGGTAGTAACTGTAAAAAATCCAGTGTGTGATTTACCTTTATTACATCTTGAGTCAGTCTACTAACTGCATTTTAAGAGCTTAATAGTCAAATGTGGCAGTGGCTACTGTATTGGGCAAGGTTTAGGTAGGTAAAACTCAGAAAAAATATTGAGCCAGGCAAATATGGAATATACTGTGGGAGAAGTACGTTTTCCAGTGTAGCATGAAGGCGAATAATAGGAGCTGATGCTGGCAGGATAGCTTGTGGGGAGGTCATGAAGAGACCTTTAAGGCATGTCTAGATGAATTACTTCAAATAAAAAGAATTATCTTAAGTTTTCTTAGTATGCTAAGATTCACTAAAAGAGTTTTTGTATAAGACTAAAAGATTGATATAAAAGCACATATTAACATTTTGAATTATGTGTTCAGAATTTCAGCCTGCATTTGGAATCTAAACTGGAAAATAATCTAGTAGAAAATAACACTACTGCTTCAACTGTGCTCAGTCAAGCAAAAATTGATGCAGGGGACAGTAAATTTCCAGGTAACACTTTGAAAAATATTACTTGGATTTCACAATGTTCAGAGATTTTTTTTAATGTCAGTATAACAGTAAACCATATGTACTACCAGGTAGGCCTGTTAAACCCTTCTTAACCATTGCTTACTTATGTTTTTCAAAAATGTGATCACTACCATAATTGCTTTTGTTGATTGACTTGTTTAAGGAACTTAGGTGTGATTCTTTGACTCCCTCCCCAAAATTGTTTTATTTTAAATCTTTTGTTTTGTTTGTGACTTACTCTCTGGAGAAATGGTACCTAATGAATTGGCCGCTTCCTGCATGCCCCCTACTGGGGATTGAGCAACCTAGGCTTGTGCCCTAACAGGGAATTGAACCGAATCAAACTGACCTCTTGGTTCATAAGTTGACACTTAACCAGCCAGCCACACTGGATGAGCCAGAGACTACAATTTCTTTAAACAAAAATGTTTTCATTTATTTCCATTTCGAGGTTATATAATTATGTAGACATTAAGCAATTTCCTGTATTGTTCAGTTCTAGTAATTGGTAAAACTAGAGGCATACTGTTAATTTACCATTAGATCTCTTTGCGGCTCTGCACAGCCTTTCTGCCTTTTCTCTGAAGAGTAATTTTTAGAAAGGGGGCTCTAATTTTATCAAATGGTCTTTAATAAAAATAAAGCATGTAATATATTGAGTTTTTTTTTCTTCTGTGATGATTTTTTAACTATTAGATGGATAGCTAGTATAAAGCTTAATACATAACCCATCTTGATTAAATTACAGGTTCAACTCCCAAACAGCACAATATACTCAATAATCAAACATCTAAGACCAGTGATAACAGGTAAGATGTTAGTTTAACTGTTTGACTGCTAAGGAGCGCTATTGCGCTCTTCTTATTTAAAACAAATTTATGTAAACAATTGGTATTTTTTAATTTTTGTTGTTGCAAAGCAATACAAGTGAGTTTATTGTATAAAAAGTGTTTTACATTTTTTCCCATACACGCGCAATTAGTGCCGCAGTTTTGGCATATGTCCGAAAAAATACATCAGCAGCCATACGGTTAATAAGTGTAAATATGACAACAGCTAAAAGATAAACTAAAGCATATTAAAAAATTTAAGTTTATTTGAGCAAAATCAATTAGAATTGAGCAGCATTTAATCTAGCAGATAGAAAGGAGCTTTGAGGGGCTGTACAAAATGACTTTTATAGGCAGAGGAAGTGGGAACAAGGAAGTTATATTGGCAGAAAAAAGGAGTGTTGGTTATTGCAGAGCTTCTTTCCATAGGGGATGGCTGGGGTATATTAGGCAGATTACCTAACTTGTGCTGATCAAGTGATTACTGATTGATTGGTTTAAAATTGTATTTGTAGGAGAGCCAAAACTGTATTTAAGCTTCTATTTGATGACTTGGCGCTTAGGATAAGGGACTCCATTTTGGGTCTGTTGTCCTGTTTTTTACAGAATTTGATTTTAACCTGTAAGTTTTGAGTGTGGGAGATTTTTCCCTAACAAGTTATGCTTGTAAACCCTTAGTTTTTCACATAGAAAGACAGTGATATTCACAAATTTCTATTCATTATATCTTTTTTTTCTATGCTTATATATGCTATTTTATACCTTTTGTTTTTTTAATGTATTTGGGGCATCTTTTACCATCTTACTGCATTCTTTTAGAATCTACATTAGATTTCGTTTTTTATTTAACACTTCACTTTATAGACATTTTGGTTGTTTCCAGTTTATCTCTATTAAAAAAACGTCCTATGAGAAGCATATATAACTTTGCCCACTATGTGACATATCTAGGATAAATTTCATAGCCAGAGGACTTAACCTGCATTGCCAGATTTCCCTCCAAAGTGGAGCAAGTGTTTGAAAAAGCTCCTTTCCTTAAATCCCTCAAAATGCTGGATATTATCAACATGTAAAAGTTTTTTTAAAATATATTTTATTGGTTTTTTAGAGAGGAAGGGAGAGGGATAGAGAGTTAGAAACATCGATGAGAGAGAAACATTGATCAGCTGCCTCCTGCACATCTCCTACTGGGGATGTGCCCACAACCCACATCCCCAGTAGGAGATGTGCAGGAGGAATCGAACCTGGGACCTTTCAGTCCACAGGCCGACGCTCTATCCACTGAGCCAAACCGGTTTCGGCAACATGTAAAAGTTTTAAAGTAGATCAGAAGCTTTTTGTTTTGTCTTTAATTAAATTAAACCTGACTTATTTTACTTTAGAGCAGTGGTAACCAGCCAGTGGTCCGTGAGGTCCAAAAGGTTGGCGGCCACTGCTTTAGAAATTACTGAAAACAGTGTTTAGGACAAACTGTAGTGACTCAGATGGCTAAAACTATAAAACTTACTGAAACTATAGGAGGTGCTGTAGTTTTTGTTTATTTGTTGAAACTTAATAGTGTTCTTGGTTTTCCATTCCTGATTTTTAAAATGTTAAGTTTTTTTCTCCTTGGAGTTGAAATTTGTCAGTGTTGCATAGAAAATAAGTTATTTTTTTCCTTTCAATAATTTGAAGTGATACAGATCTATAACATTTACTAGTTTGTTTTTGTTTTTTTAAAGGGAAACACCACCAAATCATTCTTGGCCCAAATGTAATTCCCATTTGGAGATAACAATTCCAAAGGATTTGAAATTAAAAGAAGCAGAGAAAGTTGATGAAAAACAGTTGATCATAGTAAGTATATAACTTGACCTTTTTGGTAAAGTGTTGTCATAAACATTTTATTTATGCACATTGTTAAAGAATAAATTCATTCTCTTTTTCTTTTTTTTTTATTTAATTAAATCTTTATTGTTCAGATTATTACATTTGTTCCTCTTTTCCCCCATAACTCCCCTCCTCCCAGTTCCTGCCCCACCATCTGCCCTCCCTCCCCACCCACTCTCCTAATCC